CTAATCATGGAAGTATCGTATGACACCAACGTCACATTGTCTTTTTTGTGTTGTATTTTTCTTAGTATTGAAGTTTGTCTGTTTTTATGTATTTCATGTTCAAGTGTTCGCTTGCGACCCTCACTTCATTGATCAGTTTGAGAAAAATATGAGAATGAGACAGATCATTATCCATAAAACTTCACCTGAGCCAATCAGGCGGATGCAACTCTGAGGATAGTTCTTATTAATTATTAACTCATTATCAACTCTTGATATTGCCTATAGAACTTGATCAAAACTACTTCAGCACGGCAAAATTGAGAATGAATTTGAGTGTAATTAATTCGTTATTATTTCAACGCCCTTTAAAAGTGTTTCTAAGGCCTTTCTGAAGCCTTTCTCGAAGTGTTTTTAGCCATCATTTTCGATATTTCAAAAGTCTTCATCTCATCGGATAACCTATGCTCCCCCTTCAAGTATGCTTCTACGCTCCTTTTAGAGCTGTTCGCAAGTCACCCTAGAATTCGAAAAATGATATCCCCATATAGGAAGATCACAAAAGCACTCATTTTACTAGCAGATACGCTCTGGTATCCCACCGACTATAACATGCATTTTAATTAGTCTAAACAACAAAAAAGGCTTGTTCCAAGAAAAAAAGCCTTTTTAAGAATTTTTGATCGGAAAACGCCCTTCTCCAGTCCTTTCAACGTGAAAATGCTCTTTGCTAATTGAAAGGAATTCTGTAAGGTACTGTGTATTTGAAAGCTCCTTTCAAAGGTGTTAAAAGCTGAAAACACGCTTTTAAGGGCTTTCTAAGGGCCTTCTGAGATTTTCCTCGGATTGGCTTTTGCTCGCGTTCTTGATGTCGCAAAAATCTTCATCTCATGTAATAACGTATGCTCTGGCCTTCAGCTATACTTCCTCGGTGAATTTGTGGGAGCTAGGTGGTCACCGCAGAATTTGAAAAATGATATCCCCACATAGGGAGATCCCAAATAAACTAATTTTTACGGGCAGTGAAGGAGTTGAAAGATGATTCTAAAGGCAGTGTCGCCCACTTGAAGATACCACAGGGGTACCTATGTGATATTTCTCCATTATTATTAGTTATAACGTAGGAAAACGACTTCTAAAGGAAGAAGGGCTTTGTGAACGTGTATGGATAGTGTTGTAAAGCAGTTCTTTTTAAGTGAAAATTAGTTTATCCTAATGTGAGAGTCGGTTTCGGGGCAGTTGTTTATAGATTTTTAAGTTTTGCAAAGGGTTATATAATAAGTTGGAAACGTTTTGTTTTTGGTTCCGAAAAGGGTATTTAAAGGGTTTGTTGGATATGTTCGGGGAAGCATTTTTTCAATCGAAATGTGTGGATTGCCGTTCGGGATGGTGTTTTAAAACGTTGTATTGAAGTCCACCTTTTTCGAGGTGGTTGTGGTTGGTATGTATCAATAGGTTGTTTTCTGGAAAAGTTTCCATTGCATGACTTTTCTCCAGTTGTTTGGAGAAGATGTTTTCGATATCCAAATGTGTGGACTTATCGCTGAAAAGGTCTGATGTTGTCTGATATTGATGTGCACTTTCTAAAGAGGTGTATTTAAGCCAAGGGGGGGGAGCGGATCCCGGGATCCAATAGGATCCATTGGGATCTGTCGGGATCCATTGGGATTCATTGGGATCTACCGTGATCTATTGGGATCTCACGGGATCCAGTGATATTCATTGGTATAAATTATGCTTTTAAGAAATTATAAGAACAAAAGACATCAATAAGATTCATTATAAAAATTTGCAAATCAAAACAGGCGATAGAAGAAGTAGACTGGTCATTATGCAATATGCTCATAACTCGGACTTATGTAAATGATATTTTGTAACATTCGGTTATTAAGAAAAGATATTACGACCTTTCAGCAGGTAAGAGAAGAACCATTAAGGCATTCACTTATTTATGTTGTTTTGAGACTATCCATGCACATGAGTACTTTTCAAAATATTTTAAGAATTTTCTACAATAAAGATGAGAATGATAATTCAGGAGGGGGAGGGGTGGAAATTTATGAAATTGGGTGAAGTTCAGTTGAAGTTGGTTTGCTATCATAAGCTAGCTTCTCACAATGAAGTATGAGATAAATTTACGAATTTCAGGTGATAAACGTCATCGGAATATTTACTTGAGTTTTGTCACACAAAAAAGTTGCTGTCTCGGGCTTTTATTTGTAGACATAATTTCCAAGTTTTCATTGAAAAGGGGAAAGCTAGAAAAAAATACTAAAATCGTTTATTTAGGATTAAAAATTGATTCTAAAAAGAGCATTTACTTGAGTGTGCAGGGTGTTATTGTAGGCGTCCTTCTGGCGAGCAGATGATACCCACATCTTCAATTTAAGTGGCAGAACATACTTCCTTGTTTTTATCTTGAGAATTCAGTCATAGATCAGTAAAATAGATAAAGTTATTTCTTCTGTAGAATTGTTTGTGGGGAACACAATATTTGGTTTTTTTATTTTCTCGTCAGCTATTGGAATATCGATCTAGCAGTTCGTTTTGATAAAACAGTCTTTAAAATCTAGAATTTAGCACTGTTACTATGCTGAAAAAGACAATATTCTTTATATAGTTAGTATTTATATAAACGTGAAATTATACCTTGATTATTATGAATTATACAATAATCTTCTGCTGCACCCATAGGATCTTTGAGACATATACATTTGAAAAAAAAAGGAGCAGCTCGATATTCATTTATCAGTATAAAACTAAACTTCATTCAGATTATAATTGTTTAGTCAACATTTTTTTAAAATCTTAATTAATTATTATGACTGCGTGGCACTGAATAAAATGAAGAGAATGACTATAATAAAACAGAAGATATATCCTCTGATATAACTAAATTTTGTGCTTACAGATTACATAATTCTATGATTAATTAAGTTTGCATGTTATTTCATGCAAATAAGATAAAGTGTTTTACTATGAGCCATGCAAACACGATTGCTGATTCTACTATTGTCTCAGTTTTTCAGTACTCTTCATTATAACCGGACATCAGAGTCATCCTATATTACTATATTATTCGAAAAAATGAAGATTCTTCTGAAGAAATTCATATTTTGTTTTAAATTACGACTTGTGTACAAGTTTTAATAATCTGAATACCTTTATATAACCAAGCGCATAGATATTAGTGACAAAAACATGTCAGGATTCAATCTGAGATTCAGTCCACTCCAAGATCTGCCTGGGTTAATCTCGGATTCTCACTTTGAACAAGTTCCATGTCAGATTGGCGGAAAATATTTCGTTAAAACCCTCACTAGTCCCTGGATAGTGGTTGGATTAGTTTTTCTTGGAAAACTATGCAGACAAAATGGGATTTCAGATAATACTGTTGTCGATTGAAGAGTTGAAGGAGGATTCAGGAAGTTGTAAAACATTTTCCATAGAAGAGCAACTTTTATAGAAAATTATCTACTAGTATTTCAGCCGATACTTAGTTCTTCCATAGATGATTGCAATACTTGCAACACCCTTGTCTCAACACATTTTACCAGTGAGGGTTCCAATTTAATCTATATCTTAGGACTAATGGAAGTTGTAACGAAACTTTTTCCGACAATCTAACATCGGACTATTTCAAAGTGGAAACCGGGATTGGGCGCTAACAAATATGTATATACTGCTCGTTCCTCTTAGTTGCCAACATGGTTAAGCTGTGATGTGATTATTTCATTTTTGTTTTATTAAAGATTCTCAAGTCAAACACTCGCCCTTTTTTTACAGGATCGAAGTGAAATCGGACTTTGATGAGATATTGAATTTCAGATGAAACAAAAAAATAATCATTGATGAACAGTTTTAGTCATAGATTACCAATAATGATTTTTCAGTTTTTGTTTAATTTTCGATAAAGTTTTGTTCTATTAGTTTTATTACTCTAGGCTATACGCGGTTTCAATTTTTTTCCTACTAGCTTTATTGATGTTCACTTTTACATACTTAGCATAAGATTTAATTATTCAAGTTAAAGGTCCTAAAACTTAGCCTGAATCAGTGTCCTATACATGTACTATATACGAATATAGGATCCTATATAAATGATACTTTTAATTCCTATATATTCCTATATTCTCACAAAGCGCCTCAACGAAGCCAGATTGCATCATATAAATAAACGTAGCAGAGGTGGCAATCCCAAAATATGATGGGACTTGTTTTTTCGAATAAAGCGAAATTTGCGTTTTGCCTAGTCTCACATTTGTTTTTGAGTAAGGCTATACGTTCTGCTGCTTATGTATATGATTCACATTCTCCACCATGTTTTAGCTTTTTTCTCTACAACAATAAACTCTTTAACAACTTTTAACGAAATACCAAAAATTCCGAAAATCTTTTTTGTAAAGAAGATAAAAAATTGGCCAACTCGATAACGGAAATCATCGAAAAATAATATTCCTTAACTGCATCAAATCTTAATGGATACCTGTGGGAGCCAAGCAAGAAGGTTAACCTGAATTTGGTCGAAAGTAAAAATGTCGAAAGGAAAAATATCGAAAATAAAAATATCGAAAGGAAATAAATAGAAAATAAAAATATCGAACATCGAAAATGTCGAAAATAAAAATGTCGAAAGATGTATGAAGCTAACTGAAGAGAACTATGCTAATTTAAGAATTTATTTTAGTATTTAAAGCAGTAAAATCATAGCTTAGATAAAAATGAAATTTTCAAATAAAACATAAGCAAATCAGTTCATATTAAATGGATGAGTTTTTATTTAACTTTTCTTGCAACAACGTGTGATAAACCAGTAAGAAGATCAGATGCATTAATAAGACTATTATCGTATCGATTAAAAAGCGTATTTATACGGTGTTGAATAACGGATGTACGGATGTTTTTTTTTCTTGCGGCGCCAGCCGCCCATTGGATTGTAATACAATGGACCCTTCGTTCTTCATTTTGCATGAATTTGATAAAATTCCAGATATTAGGGTGGCTTTTATATATGCGACTGTTCATTCTGTTGTGGTAACCTTAAAAAAAAAAGATATATTTGAAACTTTATTTGTCATCTCACCTTCGCACACGTTATTTGTTCTTGAATCACGCGCAGAGACATTCCATAAATCAATTATATTTAACCAATTTTTTTCAAAATATAATAATAATTCTTCCATAGGATGATCAGGCAATAGATCAGCATCAGCTTGAATTTCATTAAAACTATTGATTACTTGCTCATATGGCATTAATGCTAATGCCATGAGTTTTCTACATAATAATCTGAAGGATTCATTACTTGAATAATCCTTTTGTTTTCCTAAATGTTGTATTTGACGATAAACTGCTTGACAAAAATGGAAAAAGCAGCCGTAGTGCTTTGATGAAGGAAACTAAAAATTATTAAGTGGAAATTTATATGATTTACGTGTATTAGATATACGACTCACTTCTGATTTTAAAACTGGTATAACGCCCGATTCAAAATCACTCATGATTGTTATTGGTGAGAAAACTTTACCACGTTCCTTTGCTTTCTCTTTAAGTTCAAGAAAAATATGCCTATACGTAAGGGCTTTTTTATTTACGAGCAAACAAAATACACATGGTACACCTTAAGTACATAAAATATACTTTTTTAAATAGCAATTAATCTAACTTACATATGTCAAAAAGAACCGCATGGATAATATATACTTGCATAAAATGTGGTGGACTTTTAGAGAAGGTTCCATCCATGTAAATGACGGGAGATTGAAATAATAAATCAAGTTGATGATCACTAGCAAATATCAATAGGCGTTCACGGCGTGCGAGTAATTCATCAGCTAACAAAAATCGATTTCCATCAATGGCATGTTTATAGTCATCTGGAATATCGAATGAACAACAATTTGGCAATAACGGCACTACTTTTTGTCGAGCTTTGGCAACAGATGGATCTAAAACAAAGAATTTAGCTAAATATTAATCTTTGAGACACATACAAATCTCGTGACTTGTTGGTAATATAGCCAAAGTAGTTGAACTGATAGAGGCTTTAGAAGTTTCTTGTTCATAGATTATTGAAATTGGTATTATTTCTTGAAGAGCACGTTCTTTTATCTTTTGTCGAACTTGTCTAACTTCAACCAATTCAGGATTGGATTCATGATCATGTTCAGGTACATCCCCACCCAAGTATTTGTCATTTGTGTCTGTATGCAAATACACTGTACATCCATTACTAATACATTGCCAATACTTTTTTGTGTTCGTCTTTTTATTGCATTTGTATAAATAGTCGTTCAACAACAGTAAAGATTGACCTTTATTTGATTTTACAAAAGATATTTTAATATTTTCTTTATCGGATGATTCGGTTGTTGCATTCATCGTAGACTAATATCAGCTTTACTTAATGATGATGTATTCAATTGTGTCTATACAAAGATAACGCCTCTGTTTTTGTTTTGTTTATCTGTGTGTAGATTAAAACATTGTCCACTCTATTGACCAGTAACGTATGCTGCAACTTAAAATAGTTATAAGTGTCGCATTCGACCTATCGATCATTAGTGCCATCTCTCTTTGTGTTTGATATATATTTTCGTCCGACGTCTCATTTACGTAATCTTTAAAAGTAGGAATTTTTTATTCGACATTTTTACACTTCGATATTTTTATTTCGACATTTTGACTTTCGGCGTTTTTCAGGTGAATCAGCAAGAAACATCCGAAGTCAATATAGTCCCAGAAATACTTAGAAACATTCATCAGGTTCCACTGGGATCCATCTGGATCTATTCGGATCTGATGGGATCCACAGGATCCATTGGGATCCGGGATCCGCTTTCTCTCCCTTGAAAAATCGCCCCTCTAAACCCTTCATTATATCGGGAAGCTTTGGCTGGAAATCTATTCGAATCTAATATCCAGGTAGTGCATTGAATGCCTATTATAGCGCATATAAATTTATTAATTAAATATTGTGTCTAGCTCGAAATATTTAGCTGCGAAAAACTGAAAAAAGTTCATTTTTGTTCGAACCATTTTAGTAGAAAGGAAACGTCGAACGAAAATGTACCCGCTTAGTAAAATGATCACCTCATTGAATAGTATCTAATCAGAAGGTTTCACATGTCTATCATTTAAAATGGATATATTCCAGGTATGAAGTTTTAGATAAGAAATCGAAAATTTTGTTCCCCATTTAGCCCCCTATGCATAATTTTCAAATTTTTTAGATGCGCAGCTGTGCTAACAGGTACAAGCCCTACAAACTGTGAAAGTTTCCTTCCATTCTGATGAAGTGAATCTAGATTCTTATACATTCTCAAAAATCAACCTCATATTATTTGACCCGTATCTTTATGAAAATAAAATGGAACATTAAATAATTTAATACCAAAATGCTCAGCGGAAAAAGCTCTACAAGCGTTGCTCGTGTCAAGGAATTTGATTAAACTAGATAATGTAAAATGATCAGATTTAACTGATAAATTCATGAAAAATTGTCGTCGAAATTAGTTTTCTGGCTTTCACACCCGCAAATCGCAGTCGCGAAGAAAACGAACTCGTACATGTTGTAGAGCACGTTTCACTCTATCGAACTACTAGTGCCAATATTCTCGTTAATTCTGACTCGCACATAGATTTTTTCAAACACTGTACCTCACTAGTGTATCGCAAAATGACCTAGTAGTCCGTAAAAATTCTTCAAAATTATTTCAGTTTCTACGGATTCTGATGCAGTTTTTCACAGGGATTCTGAATATGTGGTTGGTTTTAAAATTCGAGTGAAAAAAGTGAGATTTTCATCATTTTTTCGAAAAAAATGCTTTTTTTATTTACTTTAAAAAGGAAAAGTGTACTTTTAATATTTGACCTGTATCTTCGCGAAAATACAATTTATTCCTAAAAAAGTTATTACCAAAATGATCAGCGCAAAATTCTCTACAAACCCGATAACTTTGAATGAATTCTGTCTCGGTCGCCGGATCGACCTGGGGATTTCTGGTGGAATGCCCCATAGTCAATTCTATTGTTTAAATAAATAATATGAAAGTTGGAATGCATGCATTGTTTTGATGATTTTATCGACAATATACTATTATAAAAGAAAGATAAGAGAAAATGTTTTGAAAAATGAACGAAGATACTTGAGTTTCGCTAACAACTCGATAAGATACTAGTTTAGTATGCAATCAATCTTTCTTTGTCATTTTGAATAGATTTGTTTCCTAGAAAGAATTTCTCTGTAAAAATAAATGTTCAACTTGTAATAATTTGAAAATAATTTCAATATGGTTTCGATCAAATTTGGATTATACAGTAAATCTTTTATTTGTTTGTAATGATAATTCCATTCAATGTTATAAGAATTTGATGAAGAAGAGTGTTGATCTATGAGTAAGACTTGTCTAAACATTTAACATTAATTTTAATTATTTTAAAGAAATATTTACATTTTGTAGCAAAAAGATAATTAGATGATTTTTAAAACAATCAAGAGTACCCTCCTCTTTTTTAGTAAGAAGTTTTTAAAAATCAGTTTTTTGCTTATGCGCTCTGCAGATAGGCTGGACGTTGACCTATTGATTGCTGTTTGAATCAGCTCGATCGGACCTGCCGTTAATCTTTTATTCCATTTTTACGAAAAACCTCTATTGTTCAAAAATTATCAAAATTTCAGTATCTGATGAAAAAATAAAAAGAAGATTTTCTTGGGCAGTTTTACACTGGGCAAGCGATCATTGCGAGTTCGAGGTTATATAATTAAAAGGACAATTGAGTTGGATATCCGGACCACGATTGCATCCATTATATCTGACCGATCAAAAAGTTGATCTGACTATATGATAGTGTTTAAGTGACATACAAAAAGCCATTAGCCACCAGAGCATCAACCAGGCCGTGTTTTTGTAGGCCTGGCCGGTCCGTGACAGGCCTTTGCATTCCAAGCCTGCCTGTGCCTGTCAACTAATTTGGTCGGCCTGGCCTGCCTGCCTGTCATTCTCTACGGCCTGCCTGGCCTGCCTGACAAGGCCTGTCAATTTTTTTTAATGCTAATATCATTACGANCATTCTGTACGGCCTGCCTGGCCTGCCTGGCAAAGCCTGTCAATTATTTTTAATGCTAATATCATTACGAGGATAGAATAGAAACATGTAATTAATGTTGAGAATGAAGAAAACCAGTTTAATTAATTTAATATGACTAGATTAAGCATTTACTTATCGAAGTTTTCATACAAAAAAGAACACATCAGAGGCAGCATGACATAACATTAAGAAAAAAAGTTAGGTTTTTGTTCAAGAATGTTTTGAATGGATCTCACAAAGAGAATATCATTTAAAGTTTGAGGATCCAAAGAAGAACGACGTTCTGTTACAGCTAGTCCAGCAGCCGAAAAAGATCTTTCTACAGCTGCTGAGGTTACAGGTATCGAAAATAGACGACGAGCAAGTAATGATAAACATGGAAACTTCTGTTGATAATGCTTCCAGAAAGGTAATGGGTTTGGTATTTTGTGAATCTCTTCTATGTTCATTTTTAAATATTTATCTAATTCATCATTTCTAAATACTGCTGTTGTTGTCGTTGTTGTTGAAAGTGTATCAATACCATTATTACTGTGATCATCTGGATCCGCAAATTGATCTTCCATTGATTTGTGCTTTTTTTTTGTTGGTTCAGCTAATGGTGCATTTTGTGCAGTATCTAAACCAAGAATTTCATCAATTTGTTCACGTATGTATGAATGTGCGATGCCTTTCAAATAAGTTGTAGAAAAAGTTAATTTTCGATACAATGGGTGTAGAACGGCGGCGGCCAGATGCTTCTCATCGAATGTAAACATTGTGCGTAATAATTGAAGTAAACGTTTGCGAAAAAAGACCGTCCCTAATCAGAGAAAAACAATGAATAATATTTAGATTCAGCATCATATTCTAATCACCTTCGTGACGGTCATCTATAGGAATAAAATCACCATTTACATCAACATCATTGCCATTTAAGTGATGCTCCAATTTATTCAAAGCAATGTAGGCCATATGTAACGATGGACGTGCTCCAGTTTGTACTAATATAGATACATCTTTAAATACAGTTAAAAGCCGAACCAAGTCTTTCAATCCATCGATGTTGATTTTATTTAGTTTGAATGATTGTTTAGTATTTGATGGCTTAGATAATATTGATCTTACGTGCTCGTAAGATAGATCAACCGATTCTAGCAAGTTCGATAATGATAACCAACGAACTACTGTCGCTTGCTTCAAAACAACACCACCGGCATCTTGGATTGATTTGTTTAAGCCACACTGTAAAAAATAGAATTTCATTGAAAAAAAGGCGATAAAGTGCTTCTCGCGAATTTTTGCTCACCAGTTTTACATACTTGACCAGTTGTTTACTCGTTGTGATGACATCGAGTAATTCACATGCTTTCGATGTTAATTCAGAAAGTGAAGTGTTTGATTCTATGTATTTCAATGGTGATGGGGTTTTGACGTCATCTTCTGATAACGATTCATCGGATGAACTTTCAATAATAAATTTAGGTTTCTTTGGTTGTCTTGTTGGTGTTGTTGCTGCTTGCATAATTCTTTTTTTGTGTGCTGTTTCGTAGAAACATATCTTGAGGACATTGTTCATGCGGTGCGCAAAACATAAAATAAGTGGTTGCCCTAATATATAAATTTACACATACATTCTATATGTTGAAGAAGTTCAATCTACTATGCACTCACCTTTCAGGGCCTTGAGAATATTAGGACCACGATCAGAAGTAAATACGATTTTTTTTTATCCATGAATGGTGTCAAACCGTACAAATCCAATTGACGACGAATAGCCTAGAAAAAATTTCACGTTGTTGATTCTATCTTTCAAATAATTTCCTTACTCGTAAAACAGAATCCCCACTTTTATCTATCTCTTGATACTCGCAACAGCACAGGTCTATTGAAATCAATTCATAATTTTTATTCGTAAACACAGCTGTTAAACCAAGATAATTAACTTTGCGATATTCATCATTCCAAAGATCCGGACATAAGCACAAACAATTATTTTCAGCCTGTTCTGTTAATAATGGCTGTAGCAATGAACGATATCGCTCAGCTAATTGATGAACGTTTTTCCCAATTGTCGTTGGTGTTACTAAAAGATCAGTACTGTTGAGATCCTGATACTTTTTACCTAAATAGTATAAGAAGTCACTCTAGAAATATATAAGAATCAAATCAAACATACCAAGATCCAAAACTGTTTGTAAAACATCTTTTAAGCCAGCATCTGACACTATATTGAACGGACGAACAGATCTGCAAACCCACTTTGTTAATTCATCTTTCATAGTTGTTGAATCAGTTGAATTTAACATAACTACAGCCTTCTTTTTTAGCTTAAATAATTTCTCTAAAGGCCCTTCTGATGTTTGCACTTTCGAACAAATATGTCGTAACAAGTGTTTCGTACTACCAGTACCATCAGATTGAAATGTATACGTTGTTTTACATTGAAAACAACTAGTAAAGCCATCTATTCGTTGATATATACCACCTGCATCCAGTCGAGCCGGAAATCCGAAATTTGACCACGCTGTAGAAGATTTTTTCAGATTATTTACCATCACTGTGAATTCATTTTTGTCGTCTTTCCGTTTTAACATCAGTTCAATTGATGCCGCTGTAAAAGTTTGTTTCACTTGTGATTGAGGTGGAGAATCTGCAATACAGATGGGAGATGAATTGCCAGTATCATCCATTTCATGAAGAAAGATAATTGAATTATTAACACATGACTTGAAGAAAAATAGTAAATGTTTTAACAATTGATAAAGAAAGATCTTGATGATAATCGATAATACAATTTTTAACAATAATCAATAAGAAATATCTAAATAATAATCAATAAGAAAGATCTAAATAATAATAATAATAATAAAGAAAGAATTTTTTTTACCACAATCAATAAACGAATTCTAATAATCAATAATAAACTTGATGATAATCGATAGTAAATGTTTTAACAATTGATAAAGAAAGATCTTGATGATAATCGATAATACAATTTTTAACAATAATCCAATAATAAATTTCTAAACAATAATCCAATAATAAATTTCTAAACAATAATCCAATAATAAATTTCTAAACAATAATCCAATAATAAATTTCTAAACAATAATCCAATAATAAAGATCTAAATAATAATCAATAAGAAAGGTTTTAACAATAATCAGTAATATTAAAAAAGACAGATGAATGAAAACACAAAGAGAGAATGAAGAAAAAAACTAACTATGCAATTCGAACTGAACATTAGTCATCATTTGGATCAATCACAATGAACACAGAACATTATTCTATACTTCATCTGATTATTAGCGCCACCTTCAATTAAAAAAATTTTATATCGAAAATAAAATTATATATATAAAGAATAAAGACAGGCCAGGCGGCCTGGCATTTTTAAACTGCCTGCCTGCCTGGACGAGGGTTCGGCCTGGCCTGTCTGCTCCAGGCCAGGCCTCAAAATCATGGCCTGTGCCTGTCACAGGCAGGCAGGCCCAGGCAGGCAGACAGGCCTAGCGGCCTGGTTGATGCTCTGTTAGCCACCATTCGATATGATCATCAGATTCACTATAACAGACTATCCATAGAACCGCTAGAAACGAACTTTTAATTTTTCTCTGCAATGGGACACACTTCTCACGAGGGAACATCACCAATTGATACTCACCATTTGAGCTCAGATTTTACTGATTTGTAGGGCTCTTTGTGCAGATAAAAATCCTAAAATGGTTTGTGTCATCAGGCCTTTCTTCTCGAGTTATAGTCATTGTACTGAATTGTGAAAAGGTAGTGAGTTTTCAAACGTACTATCTCGAGAAAGAAACATTCGTTTGCGCTGAAACTTTTAGGATATAATACTGGCCATGATACCTGTTACTGGGGAAATTTTCAGACGGGAATTCCTTCTTTCAGATTTTTTACAATACCCTCTGTTTGCCTGAAAATTCGGTAAAATGACTATAACTCGAGAAGAAAGGCCTGATGACATGAACAATTTTAGAGTTTTTATCTGCCCTATGAGCCCTACCAATGAGCAAAATATGAGCCCAAACAGATGGTATCAGTTGGTGAGTTCAGTTGTCAAATTTGTTTTGCGTTTTTCTCAAAATCAGGTTTTTATACAAAGTATTCAATTGTGCCCATTGGCAAGTGAATAAGACCACATACTATCTATTCTGCGTTTAAATGAAAATCTTAACTTTATGCCTTTAAAGCGGTTTCTTTGGTTGAGTAAGATAAAGATACCTGAAGGTAAATATTGATAATTCGTACGAGTTCGATTACTATTCGATTGCAGGAATGCCAGGTCAAAAAGTTAGAAATTGGAATTTCAGAAGATCTGACATCCATGTTCGATTGACAACTTATCAGGCCTTATCCTAGTTGTTGACGCCTCATTTGGTGTTTTAAATTGTTGTGCATTTGTCAAAATGGCTACAGAAGTTTCTATGAACATATCATATATAAGATCTAAAATAGTTTAAATACCTACAACCAGTTTTGAATAGCTATCCATTTTATTCGAAAGTATTCCTGTTGGAAAGATACGCTCACTGACATCTACTGAATCATTCAACTGATCATCTCAAGAGATGCCACTACATTCCTGTTGCACTGACCATTCACCGCTCTGTTTCCTCCGCAATTTTACGATATATAAGTTATCGAAGAACATTACATATTGTGAGATACGAATAAGCAGGAAAACACGTACCTGTTTCGCTGTCTTTGAGTTATAACCCAACTGATGATGACCCTTTAGCAGGGTCGAAATCTGGATCTTGGCATGCTTTACTCACCCACACCCACACCCTCAAGTCTGAATTAAGAAAGATATGAGGCAAAGAAGTACATATTAGAAAGTAGGAAAGTGAGAAAAAAAGCTAGCAAATGGAACTTTGCTCGATTATCAATATTGTTCATAGTAGTCAATGATGGTATGTTGGAAATCAAGTAAATGCGAAAACTTCCATGATTTTTACCAGGCCTACAACGACTAAAATATCTTGAATTCTTGATTTCCACTGCACATCAAACAACGATGACATGATTATAGTGAGTAAACGACACTAAACACTATGTAGTGAATAGTTTCTATGAGAACAAGAATTAATAAGTGGTTAATGAAGAGTATCTACGAAAAAATTGCGAAACAGATTTTATGGATTTGCAAGACTGTAAACATTAGCCGCAGAGAGCTCTCTCGAATATAATTCGAATTCGTCGATATAGCCATTGTACTGACCCATTGTAATTACGCCTGATGCACACCACCATAAGCCACTGAGAGATGAACCCAATAAGAGTGAAACAGGAGTACCAGCGGCTTGATAGGTATAGCTGCCTGAAGCTGACCCATATTGAGCTCCGTTAACATACAGTCGAAGTCCATCCGAGGGTCCATAAGTCACTGCCAGATGCGTCTACACATTGGTTATAACTACAGGACCAGTGATCGATACAGAGTTGTAGTTCCAGCCCTGGACGCCAACATTACCTGAACTGGTAAATCCTAACATGGGAATGCACCAACCACCGTGACCAGTTGTTCCTGATGACACATGCACGATCGTTCCACCAGCTACTGCATTTGGCTTGATCCAGATGGAAAAAGAATATGATTGGGCAACGGTACCGAGAAGTACGAGATTTGTTGCTTGAACATAAGATGAACTGCTAAGTAGAGATAGGCAATTATTCACTCGTCCTGATGTGCTATAAGAAATAGTAGTCCCTGTCCCATTGATACCCAATGTTCCACCGTCGAGAAGGTTGTTTTCAAAAGAATATGAAAATGTAAGAGTAGCCTCATACAGTACTTCCGTGGCACTGGAAAGAGAGAAAAAGTTCTTAGAAGTTGTCTCATAGAGGAAGAACTTGCTTTTTGGCTAGTGCAAGATAGGATACTTGATCAATACATCCATCCCAATAATTATTCGGAAAATAAATAACATTGGTTCCAATCGTCAGATTTCCCATGGTACCTTGGTAGGGCCCTTTAGGGCTGCCAGACACATCGAGTACTCCATTAACATAGATATACTGAGTTTTTGTGCTATAATCGTAGACATAGCCCATCTAAATAGACTAAAATAGAATCATATTTCGTGTAGTTCCAATGTATACATACATGATACCAAGTGTTTGTAGAAAGAAGAGTAACGCCTGAAATATCATCGGCAAAGAAACCCAAATAGGTATATTGATTACGTACGATAATGTGAAGACATTTATCTTGAACAGTCTGCTGACATTGGCCAAATATGACATTGTCAGAATAGGAGTCGGTCGCAGTATTATGTAATGATGTAGCTTTAACCCAAGCGAACAGAGAAAATGATGTTAAAGTCATGTTGAGAAATGGTGGTGCAAGAATCGTTACAGATTGTGAGGATGTAGCATTCAAGTAGAGACAAGTGCCATAGCCTGTAATCCCTGGAGAGCTGTAGGTTGGCCCGTTGGTACCAACACCTTGAAAGTTGTTATGCAAATCATCAAGATTGTTGTCGAATGCCCACAGGATGCGCATTGCTGAATGTGAACAAGGCATTATATAGGATTTTTAGTCGATTGAATGCTTACGTGTTTGACAATAGGGTCCTGTCCATACATTTGTAACGCACTGGCATGTATTCATAGCTATACATGTTCCACCATTAAGGCAATTCGGATTGCAGGTAACTAAAATACATTTACAAAATGAATTCGATGGCAGCCGTATGTGGCATATATGCTAAAAATAATAAAATTAAATCTCCTCGATCGTTTATGAAAAATTGATCTGTTGTCAGCGAAATTCTTTAGAACAACTAGCGACAAAACTGAAGCGTGACTCTTTTTCTGCAATAAATATTCACTAAGTCGAAAATGTGTGAATCAATATATGGACTGTACTCTCAATGGATCATGATTTGTACATTTTTTTAGCTGCTATACAATTTGTGAAAGGCGCCGAAACAATAGTTGACATCCTCATTGAATTTGTCATCGAGAAGCATTTCATCTCTTTCGACCGTTTTTTACAGGAGAATAGGGAGCCATTTTCTCAATTTTGTTAAAAAACTAAGTATTTTCAGAATATTAAAACAAATTTGAAGTTTCTATAAACCATCATCTTGTGCTTTCCCATGTCATTTTCGATATTTTGAAAACAAAATTCACGTGTTCGAAAAGGGTTTAGCAATAATCAGACAGCTCTTCAGACTGTGTAGTTGATGAAAACATGCTTTGAGATACAGATGAAAATGTTGAATCAGGCAACGAGATTGATCTTCAAAACACTATCGACCTGTCATGACATCCGACAAAAACCGATTGAATATCACAGGATCCAACAAGTTTCAACCATCAGATATTTCATTCATCTTTATCACAGGCTACATCGAATTTTTTTAAAAATATTTCAGGGTCACTCCACTGGAAATCACCAGTCAATCCGGCGACCACGCTCAAATCCATTGAAACTTTCAGGGTTTGTAGAGACGTTTTCACTGATCATTTTGATCATCAAATTTTTCAAAATAAATTCTGTTTTCGCAAAGATATAGGTAAAATACGAAAAGTGCATTTTTGTCGAAATAGCGATGAAAGTATCACTTTTTTTACTCGAATTTTAAAACCAACCATATATTTAGATTCCTCATGAAAAACTGCATCCGAATTCGTAGGAACTAAAACAAGTTTAACGAATTTCATACGATTAGTAGGTCGCTCTGTAATACACTAGAGAAGGACAGTGTTTTGAAAAATTCGCGAGTGTAGGTGTGCTGTGGATGTAGTGTTGGTGTCTTCTACTACCTTCCTTCATCCATACACTTACACTGTATCGTGGGTTCCTTGGATTCCCTGATTTCAGTGCCGTCCGTGACTTCTCTGAGTTCCCTGAGTTGCTTGGAGTCCCAGAGTTTCTCGGAGTCCCTGGCTTGCCTGAGTTTCTTGAATTCGCTGAGATGCTTTACGTGTTTTGGTTTCACATCGCTCGTCGTCGCTTATTTATTTTTGAGTTCCAAATTCCCGAAGTGTTCCCGACTTCTGGGAACTTGGCCATGTCTCACTTGGTCATAGATGTTATTGAAAAACCCATGTAACAAATCTGTGAAATAATAGTAGTTGTTAGATATAACCATGGTTCAATGTTATAAGTAGAGTTGAATGTGATAACTAGGGTTGCAGGTTATAAGCAGGGTGAAATGTTATAGCTACGGTTGAATATTACTACCGAATTAACTTTTCAACCTAAAAGTTCATCGATTATAACACAAAAGTTATAACTCGAGTTATAAATGAGGCAGTTTTAACCCCCATAGTGGTAAATGCTCCATAAGATATCAACATGTTACAATTTTATGCTAGCTAATATGTTAGAGCTCATTTATAATGGCCTAGCTATTGTTAGGTCATGAATGAAGAGTAGGGATGGACCATTTAATTTAATGCGAGTTAATTAACGGTTTTAGTTAACGTTAATTTAAAATTAACGTAAACGTACCACCCCTA